AGTATTTCTTAAGGAATGTTTTTAAAAGGGGTTTGAAAATATTCATCCATCCATCCGCTGCTTCAGAAGGAAAATAAACAATTTTGGCAAAAATAAATGTCGCTCTCTTCCGCTCTCATACCTGAAAATGTATTTATTCACAAGCCAAATGCATGAGAGTCGATCCAAAACATTATATTTACCAAAACTTGGAGCATCTGGTGAAGTTCACCACTTTGAGCGCATTCATAGGCTGCATTCAATATAGTGATTAGTTAAAAAAACTGTGGTGACTATCTATTTGATTGGATGACGCTCTGGTAACAAAGCTGGATGCATCTGGGGGTGGCATTCAAGCTACTTTAGTGACGAGGCGGGCAGGAGCTCGTAAACCACGGGTGAGTCAGTCCATAAGTGGAAAAAGGGAGGGGGAGAGGGAGGGAGGGAGGGAAACGGAGGGTGGAAGGTTTGAGCACCAAACTAGCGATAAAACTGGCAAAACAGAACAAATCGGCGTTTAGACTCCAGATGCGCGTTTGTGTTTGCTTGTGCGCTGGTGCTCGCGATGTGCGCCGCCACCAACAGCATACGTGTAAGGCGACAGCGTCAGTTTGACAGCACAGGGCCACCCACGACGCCGCAACATCCGAGTGATGACAACTAGCGGGGTGGTCAGTTGCATAGTCGTCTGTCCATGCGTATGCCATCAGGCAGATGTCCATACCCTGCTATCCCAATCACCATTGTGTCCCACCTTTGCTAACTCACCCCAGGTGTTCCACTTAGATGTGCTTTCAAGATTAGCGAACATTTCAAGCTAATTAGTTATTCGTGAACATGTTTCAAAGAAACCGCATTCACGACTTGAAGAATGTTGTAGCAGGTGTTACCGCCTAAATCGGCGGCAAATGACTTAATCTCTCACTTGGTGCACAGAAATAAAGCATTGTCACGTGCTAGGTCGTCATTCAATGACAAAAACACTCTGCTATCTCCGTACCAACCTATCACAAAAGTAAGACAGCAGAAAAACTTTATTCCAGCAGTTCTGTCATTTTTTATGTTGACTTCAAGCTTTACTGCTTCCAACTACGAATATTAAATTTGACTCACTTTTCATGATAAGTTTGAGACTCATAGAGTGCTTTCAAAATAATGTGTAATCCAAAGTGATCATCTTGATTCATCTCAGTAGCAATAAACTTAGAGCTTTAAATAAGCCCCTGAAATAGACTAATAAGGCATGCGTTTAAGGCTCATCCTTCGGATTATGTACGGACTTCCTTGAAGTTACGACCTCTTTTCGCAATTAGCACAAGCCATCGTGTCTTCTATTCTCAAAAAGGTACTTTCGTTTCATTTCACAAACTGATGTTCAACCACCATAACTGCTCACGATGGTTGTGATGTTTATTTGTTGACCGCGCATTTTTTCTTTCAATGAACGGCATGACTCTCCTCCCTTCTATGAGTTAGCAATGCATGTTCCGTCCAAGTACCACGCCTACTTCCTAAATTCAAGGAAGACGGGGATCGATGCATTCTCTGAGGTAAAAGTAGAAAGAGTAAAGACCACCTTTAGGTCTAAAAATTTCTAGAGTCACTAACAGAATAGTATAAGTGACTGCCTGTTCGAGTTCCCCAATAGAGTTCCATAGGAACGAAATTTCAGATCCATGGAATCCATTGTAGTTGGAGCCCTATCCGGTTAAGCGTAATTCGGTAATTCAGGTGGGCGGTTACTTCGTTAAATCTCTCACACACAACAATAGCAATTCTGAGACAGTCGACACCGGAGGCGACCGAGGAAAACGTCAGGGTTGACGCTTAAAAGGAGCGGATGGTCGTATAGTTCCTCGTTGTCGCTTTGAAACTACTTTAAGAGTCCGTGTTTAGGCTTCTGCTGGACAGCATGGGCTTTGAGTCATGCCGACAGAACCCGAGCCCCTCTGTGCACCCCCGAAACGTCTTCCGATCTAGCAATAAGCGTTCTTCTAACTCCAGAGAGCGCTCGAGGTGCTGCAATGGCATGTATCTTATATTACGGCTAACGCCAAAAAATAGCAAATTCCTGAGAGCAGCGCTGGCATCTGTGCCGGTGATTTATGAAGCGATTTGCATGGATACTTTGACTGTACTTTGCAAAAAAGGCATCGTCGTCTGTGGAAACAACCGATTTTTTTGGTTACTCATAACTGTTGTTTAGTTTAAAAAGCTGATACAGTAAATGACAACCAGTAGCAAAAAAAGGATAATTTAGGAAATCAACGTCAAAGAAGTAAAAAATAGACTAAAATATACCATTAACAAAATGTTAAAGTGTTTACAGGCACTTGAGGTGCTTATGGAAGGAAATGTGCTTATTACATAAATCAAACC